GGGGAGGGAGGGTAGGGGACAGGGTTAAGAAGGTGGAATGAGGAAAGAAATGGAGACTTCAAAAAAAAAAAAAAAAAAGCTTAAGTATACATTATCATGTGCAAATATGGCTAAAAATATCTGTTTATTCAAAGTGCCTCTGAAGGGCTGGCCAGAAAATACTATCTGCATATTGATATTTCAGAGGTTGTGAGGCATGAAGCAAAATTTATGCATGAGACTAGTTATGTCTACATAGATGTAACAAACCATCTGCGTTTTAACAGATGAACCCACTGTAGGAACATTACACAAAGACTATACAGGTGAAACATTCATCTGAAGAACATGTTTAAGAGTTACGTCTAACAGTTTTTGGAATATTATATTTAGTGCAATAGCACTGACATTCATTTATCTCAAATAATTATAGGATTTGCTTAGTTGTTCAAAACAATCACTTCAGTTTTTCTTGTGCAAATGTCTAGGCTTAGGAACATGCAATACTATTTTGCAAACAGTTTTGTACTCTGTGCTTTCTTCAAATATTAATGTTTTAAAAACAAAGTATTTCTGCTCAGAGTGGAGGGAAGAATGAAAATTGTATCGCACATGCAACATGGAGATTTCAGAATTTGGCTTCTTTCAAATTTGTAGAGACCCTGCCCTCATTTTCGAATTCTCTCTTAAAAGAGGTGTCTCCTTAAAAGATTGAAACTCTTTGGCAAATTGACTAACTTTTTCCAAACTGATCATTTGCTTGACCAAAACTACATAGAACTGAATAAGCTGGAAAGATCATTTGTTATTTTATCAAGAACTGAAACAAATTCATGTTTTCAGGTATCTTAGCACCACTTCATGTTATCTGTATAAACTTTGCAAAATAATATCAAGTGTTCTTTTCCTAGAGAAATAGGCTTTCATGGGACTGGACTTCATTTCCTACAGATAAAGCAGGTGGCATTCGCTATTCAGGGCAACTTATTTTTAGATCAAATGCAAATTCCTTGAGATAGAGTCTATTTGTACCCAAATAAAAAATTAACAATAATACTCTTGCTATTCCTGTTTATGAATGTAAAGAAAAAAAAATCTTATGCTCCACTGGATGGCATAGTTCATAAGAACATTTCTTTCATGCTCTGGTATGAAACAAGTTCAGTTTTTTACTTATAAATTGTGAAGATACAGTTATAATTCCTGGGTACATTATTTTTACTTCCATTTTCCTGAACTAATCAGAGCAACATTTTAACAAAGTTTTTTAAAGCATTTTAACTAGTTTTTAAACATTTCATGGTCCATAAAATGTTTGCTAAATAAAATTTCAAGTTAACCAAATATAAGTTTAATAATGTAGTTTAGGAAGATAAATCTCTTTGTAGTCTATATTACTTTCATGTTTCTGAATTTCAAAATAGGAGCAAGACTTATTTTTCAGCACTGCCCAAACCTTGTTATTCCAAGCCACACATGTGGCTTTTATGACAACACTGAAATAGGTCAATGAGGCCTATTTGTAGAGTATGACTTAGGACTGTGATGAGCTCATATGGACATAAGGAGGCCACAATTTCTGTGACATGTTAAAAGAAGAATATTTCTTAGTGAAGCCTGTTGATGCCAGCCAAAAGTGTTAATTTTCAATACATTCAAGTGATTCTGAACCATTTTAGTGAGACAAATGGCTACATATGGAATAGATAACTCTAGTCCCCTACTTAAAATGGACTTTTTCTTGTTAACGCTCCAAAGAATCTTTTCCATAACAAGTTCAAGACTTTCAAGAGTCTCACAGGCCACCTCTAATTTTCAGGCCAACAACCCTGACCACTTGTTAGAGGAAAGCGTGATTACACTCTCTCTCTCTGTGCATGTGTGTGTGTGTTTTTAATTCTGAAAATAAGTGCTTTAGTCTTCAGTACTTTGACAGTAGAGCATAAGGATTACTATTCTTCAGAAACAAACAAAAAAAAAAGATCAGAGTCCCTTTTTAGGAACGAATGCTTGTCACCCATGTAAAGTAACAAAAAGGTCAAAACCAGAGCAGAATGCCTTAATTCCTCTTCTTGAGCCAGAGCACTGTGATAAGTACCCTTCTTTCTCAGAAAGGCGATGAAATTATGACTAGTTAGTATACCATACCAGGTGATCACCTTTCATAAAGCAAATTCTGATCTAACCTTTTCTCAATATGGTATCAGTGTTCCCTAAAAGCATGTCACAAGCATTAAATTTAGAAGCTTTATCACAAGAAGTTACTCAAACTGACAGAGATTTTGGAATGAATTTTGTCTAAAGTCTAAGCTGTTCCAGAGTGCAGCTGTAGGATCATTCCTCCTATAATCTATTTCCTTCAACAGAGGACAACTCTAATCTTTCATCATTGAAGATCAAAATAAAAATTACAAGGCACTAAACCCCGCAGCTCCCTGCAAGTTTCCAACTTCCGTAAATGAAGTGGGGCAAAATTTTGAGCATTCAAAGGTTACATTCAAAGTCCTTGAGTTAAAGATAATTAATTAGTGCTAAGAGTATAAATTAAATACTGTTTTTAACTTGAACTGCTCATTTTCATAGAGTTGACTTAAGACATCAGAATTGAAAGCACAATTTAAGCTTGTGCCTTCACTTTTAAGTGGTCATATTTGTCAGTCATCACTGAGCTGAAAAGCTATTTATCTATTTTACATGTGAATCCTAAGGCTTTTTAAAAAAAAAAAAAAAGTCAGGTATAAGTAAGGACAAACTAACTGCAAGTTCAGAGAACAAATTAAAAATTGCTTTAAGATAGCCGAGTTGCCTGAAGGCCAAGATGGGGCGATGAAGTTGCTGGAGTTGTAGAAGGAGGGTTTGGACAGGCTGAGGAGCTGCTGAAGATAAACTTCATGACAGAGTCCTCCTGAGGAAATGCAGCCTGTCTAAACAGAAATGAGTGAAAATGCCTTCAAAACGAGGTGGAGTCAAAAGGAGTTGGGCAAATGTTGAAGGCTCAGAGCAAGTTAATGTCAGCTGCTTCACATGCAGTGCCTGATGGGAACCTGAAGCAGAGATGGGCCTTAGTTACTCTATCAGCCTTTAATAGATAGGCATGCTGAGGTTGCTTAGTTCTGGTGTTCCCTGCCCCAGAAAGCAATAACCAGATATTGGTCCAGAAAAGTAGGGATTAACTGACACTCTAAAATAGGAGTGCAGTTCATGTCAAAGTACAACCACTTGAAATATGGAAGGCTACCTGTGGCTGACAAAGGTTACAAGTACAACGTAAGGCTATAAGGATCTGGAAAGATGAAGGAAAGTATGAAGTATAAATTCGAAACACCAAAAAGGCATGAAGCTGAAGCCTGTAATACTAACTTCAGTTACAAGCCATGATCTAAGAAGCTCCAAAAGCTGAGACAGGCAAAACGTGGTAACTAGAACAAAGAAAATTTAATTAACTGCTAGCCAGTAATTAAAAAAATGGGGGGGGAGCTTTTGTTGAAATAAAGGTCCCATCTTCTCCCACGATTTTTTGTAAGCTGTGCCTAGTCTTATCAATCTGTCCTTCCTTCTATTTTGTCTAGGCTGTTTCATTTGAACTGGACTACAGTAAAGACAAAGATTCTGTCCCGCCATACCTCTTTGTTTTACCTACTGTTCTACAAAACGCGCCAAATCACTACTGACAAGTCATACAGACTTCTCTACCAAAGCTGAAGAGGAAGAGCTTTTTGGTGCACTACAGCCACTGGAAAAGTTGCAGCTTCCATCACTATAATACTTTCTGAGCTGGCAGGATGCATAAAAGACAGAACTGTGCTCCGTTTAAACTAAACAAATAAAAACAAAATCAATAAACTGTAAGCAGAATATCATGGGGGAGGCTGAGTGCACCAATCTGATGCAGATCCATGAAAAACATTTCTGCAGGAATACAAAATATATTGTAAAAATGAATTTAAAAAAGCAACAGGACCACATATTATGGAAGCGTAAGTACTTTTTGTTAAGTACGCTTATTATTTTCCAAAAGCCCTCCTATGAAATATATGTAATGCATATATTTTTTTTCTTCTCTCAAGCCTCCAGTCTAGTTCTGAGAACCTCCTTCAGCAGCAGTTTGTTACTAAGCAATCATTTCAGTTCTCAGTCATAAGAACTCACGTGGGAGTATTAATAGCTCACTGTTTAGTTTTTACTGCATAAAGTTAAATAAGACTGAGGACAGCTTAGCACTTTGGGGAAGAAGGTAAAAGGGCTGCCCCTCAGCTGGTGTTCTTACTGTGCTAGCTTTCCAGGGAGAAGGATGGATTAAACCCAAAAGTCATTTTTAAAGCAGTACTGCTGCAAAAACAATCCAGCCAAAGTACTGTCCTCTGAAGAAGCAGGGGTGTGCACCAGTCAAATACACTAAGTATTTACTTAGAATTTTCCACTCAACTTTTTAATTATATTTAATGTTTAAGAGATTGTAAATGAGAGAAGATATTACTTCTGTACAGTTGGTTCCTCAGGTCCCTGCTCCCATGATGATCGGGGACTCTGCGTTCCCAAACTCCAGTCAGAATTATCTGCAATCCAGTGGCCACTCCAATAAGCTTCCCATGAGAGTCAGTCAGAAGATTCAGAAAAAAACCTCTACAGTTCAGAAGCGACAGAGTGGAAAGCTTATCTTCTGCATTCATTAAACTCCACACACAAAATATACATGCCGTTGCTTCTTTGTAAAGAGACCTAGGCACAACTGGGAATTCTGAACAGAGGTGACATGTAATCTGAGAAAATGAGGCAGGGGAAAATCTTGGTCTATCAGTGTACAGGGGAGAGATGTGGAGGGGACAGAAACCATGAAAACAACTGAAAAATAATGAAATTTAACTTTTTAATACCAAAATGTATTTTCTATTTTACAACCCATTAAACTATATTGTTCAAAGGCAGGAAAAAATATTTCGGGGGGGGGGGAATCAAAATAAAGCTATTTATATAGTTTTCTCTGTATAAAATTTATCAAATATTTTAGGGGAAGTTTGAAAACTATAGTTCATAGTTTGAACTATAGTTGAACTATAGTTCATAGCTGAACTATAGTTTCATAGTTTGAAAGGGTTCATATGATAAAAAGCCAATAAAAACCTAACAAAAACAAAACTCTAAAGCATTTTGTGACAGCCAGCATTTCAGTAACTGCATCTTCAATCAATGTAGCTGTGTTTATCTAGAGCTAGAAAATAATTTTCATATAGCTACAATATACTGCTTCCCTGTAAGCGCTTTTCAGTTTTTTTATATTTAAAAAAAAAAGAACCTCACACTTCACCTACCTCCCCTTCCTTTTGCTCATGAATAGAGCAGATTATGCCTAACTGAAAACTGAAGTCAGAAAAGCAATCAGACTGACATAGTTAATAACAGGAGCTTCTCCTAAAGCATCATTATAGACTACAATAAATTTGCATTTCTTCTGTAAATATGAAAGCTGCCATTGTTACACTGTGGGAGTTGTTTCTTAATTGGATTTAAGAAACAGACAAAACTCAGCTTGTATGCATTTCATGTGCGTTTGCAGAACTAGGTATCCCATCTAACGCAAAAGTTTCAAGTCTATTACTGTTATTATGCCTTTCATATCCCTCATTAAATCATGAATATAAATCTAAGATAAAACAGTACTAAAAGGAGTTCCTCTACTCTCTGAAAGTCACTTGGGGCAGCTAACAGCAGCCATTTTAATAGGTAAGTTTGTACTGATTTTGAGGTATAAAGAAGCCTAACCTAAACAATTTAACAAGTATTATACAAAAAGCTCACTTCCCCACAAATACTAAAACTATAATCTGTGTTCATTTTCTACTAATCAAAGATGAAAGCATGCTGAAAAAAGAAGATGTTACTATTTATTGTATTTAGGAAAAACACACATCGCAGGATATCATATACACCTATAATATTTTGCAAGAAAATGCTCTCACACTTTCATATATGGTGCATTTCCTGCGTTTCCTATCAACCTAGTGTTTAAACCCAAAAGAAAAGATTTCAGCATCCGATTTCACTACATTAAGAGATAACTCCAAGAAAGGCCAAAAAAGAAACCTCAAGTCTTACACCCAAAAAGTCATTTCTAAAGGTGTATCTCTTTCTTTCCTAAGCTTGAAATTTAACTATGTGACTATTTTAAACAACTAAGATTTGAGTATTTTGAGGTTAGGTCTAGTTTGGTATACTCCAGTAAAGAGCTTCACAGCTTCAACCTGTTCATCAGTGCTTCTTTGTTTCTAGCATCTGACACTCCAGGCTCGAGCCTATCAAAACAGGTCCTCTCACTCTCTGAGGTTGCTCTGGAGAGGTTCAAGTTCACTAAACTGAAAATACTACAAATCAGAAGGGCTTTGAACCCTGCCATGCGAGAAAAGAAGAAAAGGTTGGGGCCATGAATAATGCATTTGTGGAAAAGCAATGTTTCAAACTTTGTTTTTAGCCAAGTTTTATTACAGGTGTTCTCCAAATCTGGCCGGAAGTACAGCCTCACAGCAGACTAAAGTTGTATCATACTGTTATCCATTTTATCCACTCTACAGATCATCTATTTTATCCTTTTTAAGGGTTAAAGTAAAACAAAGAGCATTTTTAGAAATAAGGGCCAAAAATCATAGCAGTTCAGAGTTTTTTTTATGCTCTCCCTCCTCTCACGCTACAACCTGTTGCAAGACTGCCACTGCATATTGGTTTCTTCATCCTCTTTTAGTCTTCTAGTTCTAAGCCACAACTGCCTTCTGTTTTCTTGGCCTCAAAAAAAAAAAAAAAAACCCTAAACTGTTTCTGTGTCTCTCTTGCTTTCAGAAACCACCATCCTAATCAAGAGAGAAAAGATAACTGGAAGAAAATGGCTGAATTATGGAGGTCCCATGCAAAAATAACTAGATTTTGACACATCAACTAAGCTGATGGAAAGTTTTTCTAAAATAAGAACTACTTTGCCACTATAAATAGCATTGTAATATATATCCTCAGGCAAAAATAAAAAAGTTTTGTTATGGCATAACATTTCTGTCAAGCAGATTGTACACAGTAATAGAATGTCTAATGTTTTAAATTAGACTACACTACCATTGTATAATTACTACAAAACAATTTATAATTAAAATCTTCACAGGACCACTAGAACATTATCAAATTCGGTACTGAAGTCCACTTTGCATTTCTGTATGTCTAATTTTGTGCAGAAGCATTCATCTTTAGAAGAAAGTTATCTTAAAAATCTCCAGTATTTCAGGATACTCTGGCATAATAGGAGCCTTAAAATTTGATCTCAACAAAATTTGCATATAGCATTATTATTTCCAGGATGAACTAGTGCTCGACAAGTCAAGAATCTTAAATTCTACCAATGGCTCTTCATGAGCTCTCTGACCTTGTACAATGGTCCACTAATTTTTAAAATAAAGATACTACATTTCAAAGTCTTCATTATCCTGATATTTGATTGCCTTCAACAGTCTCATCTTTCTAGGAGTCTGTGAGGGCTATTTCTGACGCTACTTCCCACAGGTTAAAAAAGTGGGAAGCAATTTATTTTACTATAATCAAGAATTAACTTGTTAAGTTATGGATCTGTATTCATAACCTTGCAAGCTAAAAAATAAGGCCCCAATTCCATATGCAGAAATATCAACTTAAATTCCTGCAAAAGGTATGAAAAACCTGACACCTGAGTTTACGAGATCAGTTCTTGGTTTCAAAGTATTCTTCCTGGTTTGATTTTTTAAAGCAGCTAGTTGCCTCTTCAGTGTCCTTTTTATCCTGCTTGTTTTCAGCTGTGTTCACTATTGACTTCTCCAAAAAACACAGTTACTATTTGATGTTAATGAAACCAACAGCAAATAAATTGAGCTACAGAGAAGTTAATCCACATGGACAATTAGGTATCTGCGCTAAAAGTTTTTGCCATTTGTCAGTTCCTTTGTTTAGGCCATTGCAATAGAAGAATAACTCATCTGGTGACTAAGAGTTTCTACAGAGCTTCATATCTGAAAAAAAACAAACAAAAACAACTGCAGTTTTGAAAGTATTTTTTAAAGGAAAAGTTTAGATCTTTGGTAAACTTATTTGTTTATACATACTCTTCTGGATCCTTTTCAAATACCGTTGTTGCTAAATACAAAGTTCAAAATATTTTTTCCTATTTGTGGGTTCTGCATGAAAATGTCAGATATTGTCAACTTGTACTCTTCAGCAGTTACCATAAAAAAAGCGCATTTACTTCAATTATTACATCACAAAATGCATCAGTTATTCCTGTTATAATCATAAATCAATACTATCTGTATGTAATGAAAACAATAAGCTCAAATCCATAGGTAGTTTGGCAAAAAAATTCCCTTGGCACTTACTCAGTTTACTAACTATTTAACCACAGCCATTTTTAACATAAGATAGTATTACTTCTGCAATTAAACTTAATCATCCAGTCTACTAGATATATTCTGTTAACTTTTAAAGGACCAACAAACCATTTTCCACTTTTTTTTTTTTTTGGCACAAAATACTGCTTTCCATCTACCTGTGCAACTTAGAATTGATGGGGCTGCTAGCCCAAGGTCAGCCACCAAGATCAATGCCACAATTGTTTATATTTCAATTACGCATTTCTTGGGAGTCCTCAGAATAATCAAATGTCCCAAAATAGGATGGAAAACAACCTGCCAGCTGGTTATTCTGCACATAAATCCAGTAATTGTATTGGATCAAGCGGAACAATGATGTAGCTCTCCAGTTTGTAATTTGAAAAGTTTGTTAGTTTGCTCTATTTATCCTGTTAAACAACAGTTATGGTAGGGATTGTTTTTTCACAGCAGAAGTAGGAATACAAGCAACCTTACTATTTAGTGTAAACACTTTTTATTCCTACTACTACAAAACACAAACCAAAGCGCACGCACACACAGTTTATTTCCTTATTATCCTGTTAACCAGAAATATATACCCCCATATGGCAAGAATGAGTCATCCACGTACTATTTTAACCACTACCTGTTACTAAAGCTCATAACCTTGAAACTCATTAAGCCTAAATTTTCTATACTAATTTTAATAAAACTATTACTATATTAACCCATATTTAATACATTGCCATGCAGTTACAGGAAAAAAATTACATTATATGTAGTAGTAGAGTCTTCAGTCTGTAAAAATCACTGCTCTAAGCATTATAAGGCTTTAATGGAGGTACTGAATCCTGTTTTGATACTGAATCCCATTTTGATCACCACACTGCGTGAAAGGCTTGCATCAGAAGAGAATCCAGAGAGTCCAACAAGAACAAGAAGAGGTCTTGAAAGTATCTTTTATGAGAAAGGATGGAAAGAATTTGGGTTGTTTATTATAGCAGAGCAAAGGACGAGAGGAGACAACAAGTTTTCAAACACTGTTAAGAAAAGGGAGCAACTACCACAGGAAGTATTTCCTATTCTTGGTATTTGCGAGAGTTCTCCACATTTTTAGTATTTTTCCTATAACTGTGCTAGTACAGCAAAGTTTTGTCTTTTATTTCATTTCTTCTACAATCTACATCATTAGTTATTTTGACTGTATTAGTGTTAAAAGAAATAAAAAGGTTTTTTTGAGCTTGTAGTATGAAAGCATACCTGAACAGTGCTTTTAATTATTAAATAATGATACAAAGTTGGATCAGAAGATACAATATAAATAAGCCTGAGAGTACCCATATATATTTTCTTCTGGTTTAAAACCTCTATGGCACTTTTCCTGTCACATGTAAAACATGTCCCACAGGAGAGAGTTGCAACAGAGGAGCCACAGACCTATACAGAGTTCATTTAATTGTAAAAAAAGATGTGATATTTTACAAAATTGAAATAGAAACTAGAAAATTATTTTACTCTTAGTATTTATCTAAAAAATGGAGCCTGTATCTGGTACACTTCTCAGCACAACTAATATTGATCCAGAATGATCTCAAAGCCTGAATATATAGTTTTTGACTAACATTGCTATGAATTAGCAATAACAGCCAAAAAAAATGCAGTAGATTTCTTCTCTGACTAAATTTTAAAACGTACATTTTCTCTAACTTTTTTTTTTTTTTTAAAAGAGTATTCAAGGCACAAATCAATCTCATAACAAAATACCTAACTTTGGCCATTAGTATCCTACATTTATTTCTCTTACTCGTTCACATGAAAGACATTCACAACAGTAAGAGGGCATTAAAGGTAGGTTCCTAGAGTATGTATTTTTTTTTTTAAACCTTTAAGAATTGCTATGGTATTTCTAGAAACTCTGACCTATATTATTTACAATACATTTGAGAAGAGATTTATTTATTTTGCTCAAAATTACCAAATTATTCACATGCATGGGGAGTCTCTTGCAGAACTTTATTACCATGTGTATCACAGTGATAGATCTATGGCCACTGTGATAGTATTACAGCTGAGATTTAATTATCCCCTTATGAATCAGATTAGCATTAGCAGACCAAGACAAGTCCATCGGAATATGTCAGCATGTCTTGAATATGCCCATTTACCAGTATACAACATATTGGTTTATATATAAAATGACATTAGAATATAACTGAACCACTAGATTTAAGCACAAGTTAAAATAGTGAAGAACAGCATATCAGAACAGAGGCTGAGCACAGGGCATTTTAAAGCGTCCGGCATAGGTAACCCATTCTACTCAAATAAGAGCAAACCAGGATAAAGGGCAGAGTAGTAGTTTCTTCTGGGAAACCAGGACCTCCACTGCCTCCTTGTCTGGTACCAAAGAATAAAGACTAAACAAAACATTAACAAGTGACATCATATTAGTGTGCCGCTGCAAGATCATCCTAAGGAATGACATGCAGTTTAGGAAAAATATAGTTGTATGAGAATACCCATATTGGATCAGAAAGAAACTTTATCTTAGCATCCTGCGTCTCCGATGACGCCCAGAAGCTGATGCGCAGCAAAAGGGTATCAGAATAGGGAAAACCCAGTACCCTCCCCAGTAAATTCTTCTAAATCTGAAGAATCTGTTCTAGTAAGAAATATCTGAACCAGAGAATAAATCTACATCTTATGTCTAATAGCCCTTCTTAGGCCTTTCCTATGAACTCTCTTGATACTTCCTCCTAACACACTGTTCGTATTCTCAACCTAGTCATCACTTCATTAACAAAAAAATATCAATACTTTCAAATTAATGTGAAATGCCTAATGACATACGAAATAAACTCCTCTTTTATCGGGAGCGCTTCCTTGATATAATAAACCTGGCTTTATGACAACTTTGTCCCAAACATTTAAAGCTACCTAAAATAGGATGAAGTCGGTGCCATGGGGATCTTGCTATTATCAGTGTCTTGCATTCTGCTCTATCATGGCAAGAATGAAAGAGCAGGGACATGCTTAAAATAAAGGGACACTGCACCACGTGCCCTGGAAAACACTGATCCTGGGAAGCCAAGATATCAGCATAAAGTACAGCTTGTGAGGCTGAAGCTCATAAAGGAGCTCTTGACTTGGTTCTCCATTCAGCTATTCTGAATGCTGAAGACTAGCATTTATTTTAATGGTTAAGACTGACAAAAGTTAATTCTAGATATAATCTATAGTAAAGGTTTACATACATACCATAAGAAAAACAAATCACTGCAGCTTGGCATGCAGCAGTAATTGTCAGCAAAATATATGACCTTTGAGTACAAAAAACACTACAAGATTTATGTTTTCTAATCTCTATCCAAAAGCCGGAGCATTGCAAGAACTGAACTGGGAACAAATTTATTTAATACAGTGAAAGTAAATGAAACCAGAAAACATTAGATGGCACTATAAAATAAATAATTCATGATCTGTTGTCATTAAACAGTGTAACAGAAGAAGGATGGGCGTCTGATAAAGATGTATGGGATTTAAATATCCATTCTTCTAGACATGATTTTAACAAAAAGAAAGAAGGGGCTCTCCTCCTTGAGAAAGAGGGAAAAAGCATTTATTTTTATGGTTATTCTTCCATCACCTGGGGCAACATCTCGTTAGCTACCTTTTAAACATTTGATCATTTAAAACCTCCAGGAGAACATCACACACAAATCCTGTTATGTAACAAACGTCACATAAAGTGAAAAACATTATGCATACTGAACACACTGGAAAAGACTGCAACTTCAATGCAAAATTATCACAGAATGGACTTCCACAAACATTGTAATCCTTCAGCAAATACAGTTGATAGAGTAGCTCAGTAATAATGATTATTGCTTATAAAGAAAGCTTATATTTCATACACTTTTAAATTAAATTTTGTATTAGCAAATAAGACAAGCACATAACAGATGATCATTTCTCTTTTACAGTCAGTTGTAAAAGGTTTCAACTGCAGATCCAAGATCAGATAGCAAACTGGTATCCAAAGCAAAACTAGATCAAATGCAAGAATACATGGAAGAAACTAACAAAATAGGGGCTTAGTGATCTACAGATAATTGAAAGAGAAGAAGCGTCATCATTTAACCTGTAATTTAACAAAGATTGAACAATTAGGAGCCAGAGCTCATGGGTCTCTTACATGCTTAAGATTCATACTTGCAACAAGGAACCTTGATAACACGTTCCTGCAGCGTCTCCTGACAGAGAATATAATTTTCACTTAATCTCAACTCTTATTTTTTTTTTTACTATTCTGATTCTATTCATTCTCTTCTCTTTAGGAGTAGAACACCAATCTAAAATTATTAGACAATTACAAAACAATACGAATGATTTTACTCATCTAAAAACAGTTTACTCTCCACATCAGTTTTTTAAACTCTACCATAGCTGGGGAAGTCATCAAAAAAGTTAATAAAAGCACAAATACAATTTTTATGCATTACATATTTTTTAAAAAAATTAGATCGGATTCAAAATTAAAAATTGCCATGGAGCTCTTTGACATTAGGACACAATATTTGGATAGTTTAAGGAGCTGTTTTCATCCATAAGAGTTTAATATAAAAACAAGGATTATTATTATTTTTGGATGTTATTGTTAACTGTGTTTTAAACCTCAAGAGAAATGATACAGCTCATTAAGACTCACTCTTAAACTTTTCTCAAGAATCAACTTGTTACAAATTTCTGAATGTTTACATAAGTCACAATACTTCATGTCTGCCAACTTCTTCTAAAATATAAAAATATATTAGAAGGAAAGATCAGATTTGATGTTCATATATATTTTGCTGCTGTTGATTATCACAGTACAACCTACCCTTTGATTTAAGGTTAGATGATACAGGGCTGACTGACGTCACTGAAGTATGTTATGCAGTGCTACCTTACTCCTCCCCCCACTGGTAAAACACACACAGCCCTTTATAAAACAAGCTTTTAATGATACTTAGAATTTCTTGCCTTCAGAAAGTATATTATCTTTAAAAATATATTTAAGATTTTTTTTTCCCTTTGATCATACAAGAAGATAGAGGTCACATTCTTTCCAGTAATAAATTAGCACTTCATTGATACTGAATATTAAAAGACCAGAATTCTTAGGTTTGTAACTAATGAGTAGAAGAGTTTCACAGGAACTAATAATTATAATTTACTAAAGTGCTTTCAAATATATTTTTCATACACACATACACAAACATTCTTGACTTATTTTAAGGTATTATTCTATTACATTTACATACAATTTAGGTATATAACCAAGGCAGGGGGGGAAAATGACACTTTCCCTTTCTTAGGAAAATTTTCAAAATATTAAAGCTACTTACTTTGCTTACCATACCCAAAAACCAGTTCAAATTCTTTTCCTTTTACCTCCATCTAAATCTCAATGTTCATTTTTATTCTGCTTATACCAATATTTACACCTCCACTCTACCCCTTTCCTGTTTTTAGATTTGTGACTGCGTCAAAAAACAGCCATCAGATGATAATACTTCTCAGTCAGTTCTAAATCAAGATGAATTCACAACAATGATCTGGAGACAAACAACTCCAATTATTCTCAATCATTTGGTATAATCTATTCTTCTCTTCCAGGCATAAGAGAGCCAGAACCAAAAAAAAATTTCCATGCATTGTCTTATATAAGTATAGGTATATGTATAGTTACATACATTTCAATAATTCTGGGGGTAGGGGAAAAGGTAATATTGGGGCTGAAGAGTATATATTTTTCCCCACATTAGATTAATACCAAGTAGTTTCACTTCAGTAACCCTATTAGTCATATCCTACACCCTTTGAAACTATTTGTAAGAAGATTATACATTGTCAGCCTGAATTTGAAGAAAAAATTGAGGTATACAACTGCACATTTATAAATATAAGTTTGAAATACTTCTTGGAAATAACTGGACGGACAATATACCACAGAAAATAGTTCTCCTGTTAATTTAAGCATGATTTCACTAATCCTAAATTCTAACCTTTTATATCAAATAATTCTTTATTAATTTGATTGGTCCAGTTCAACAAAAAGCTCCTGAGTATGCATTTTCCTGGTTATTGTTAACAATACATTTACAGTCATAAAATTAAGGTATC